CCCCCCCCCCCGCACTCTCTCTCTCTCTTTCTCGCCAGGGACCCACCCTGGAAAAAGGGTTTAATTAGAACCATTGATTCCTTCTTTGGCTGTGGGCATTGATCTTGACAGTGTGGTCAGAGCTAGAGGGTGGGGTGGCATGGCTGCTTTCTGCCCATGCCAACCTTGGCATTCTCTGCCAAAACCCCAGCCCTGGAAGTGCTTAGGAGGGAGGGGGCTGGGCTCTTTGAAGTACCCAGTTTGTTGAGCCCCACCCCCACTCCAGGTTAGGCTTTGGGGAAAGAAGGGAGACAGTGTTGAGGATTTGAACTGAGGGAGCTGAGTTTGCGGCCCCAGGAAGAGCAGTTCATGGTGTCTCTCATCCTGGGTAGTGGGCGTGGGGCACAGGAAGAAGTGGCTGTGGTAGGGGCAGCTCCTGCAAAGAGGCCTGTGAGTGCTGGGCAGGCAGGGAGTTCAGGGGAAGGATCCAGGGCTCGCCATAAAAGCCGCTCTTTCGAGGAATCCCAAGCACTTATCTCCTCCAAGCCCTGGCAAGGAGATCTGTTTTCTTCCTTCATTTATGTCCTTGAGGCCCAGAGAGGGACAGAGACTGCCTTAGAGGCCCAGCAGACTTAGGTCTAGCTTCAAGCCTGGTTTCCTGGCCGAGGGGCCCCTGCAGGGCACAGGGTGCTGAGGGTGAGGCTCCTGGTAGCCTAGGCTCTGGACTGTAGGATTGGGGGTGGGGTGGGGGGTCAGGTTGTGCCCCCCGAGTCCTGGCTGCCTGCTGTGGGTGGGCTGGTGCAGGTGCAGGCTTCAATGAGGCACTCAGACGCTCTTTGAAGAATCCCTCATTGGCTTCCTAGGGCCCATTTGAGCAAAGATAATAAAAATCTGGCCGTCAGCGGGTTTGAGGGCTGTACTGGCTTCCCCTTCTTTCATTTCAAGCTCTGAAAAGCGGAGATGAAGGCTTCGGATTTGGCTGAGAAGCAGTGCCTGCCCCGAGGGAGGAAGGGAGGGAGGCAGTGAAGGAGGGAGGACTGAATTCCTGGCATGGGGGGGAGTTTCTAGGGAAGTGGGCAGAGGGGAAGGGGCATGGTTCCCAACGCCTGCCAGGCAGCCTAGAACCTCAGGGTCAGAGTTTCTGTACCCGATACCTGGGCTCCAGCATCGTCCTCAGTTCTGGGGGCTCCAGAGCGCTCCCCTGGGTGCCCTCGGTCTTCCCCCCTCCCCCATCTCTCCTCTGTGCCATTCCATCTCCCCATTCCTCCCCTCCCACTCCCTGCCCCTCAATTTCTCCTGCGCTGCCCTTCCTGCTGTTTCTCTCTCTAACCCTGTCTCCTCGCCTCTCCTGCCTCCCCTTTCTTCCTCTGACTGCCCCTCCCATCGTCTGCCTCCCCTTCCTTTCCCCAGCTCTGGCCCTGCTTTCGAGGACTGGAAGGTTGAGAAGCCAGGTTGGGGGTGGGAAAGTGGCCTCAGAAGGGATGGGCCTGGGTTAACTATTATGGTCTGTCAGGTGCCGTAATTGTCCGAGTCCAGGCAGGAAGAGCTGCTGAGCATTTAGGAGTCTGTGTGTGTGTGTGTGTGTGTGTGTGTGTGTGTGTGTGTGAGAGAGAGAGAGAGAGAGAGAGAGAGAGAGTGTGTGTGTGTGTGTGTGTGTGTGTGTGTTGAGGGCGCCATCCCTGTCCCCACACCACTGCGGGCACCTTGCCCTGACATTGGGCTCTTTCTCCCCTGCCTCAAACACTCCAATTTCCCTGCTCTCCTCCCCTGCCCCTGGGATTTCTCCTTGCCTACTTCCAACCTCCTGCCCCTCCACCCGTTGGCACCCGCAGGTGCTGTGCTGCCCTTGCACTGCCCCTCACACCCACCAGACCATCTCCAGGTGCAGAGGTGGGAGGGAGGCATCCAAGAAGCCTCTCAGCTCCATCTCCCACCCTTGTCTCTGGTGGGCCTGCCTAGAACCCCATCCACACCCTGGGGCCCCTGTGTCATGCTGTAAACCCCCCAGCAGAAAGACAAGACCCTGGTGGAAAAAGCAGTGCGCTAAGTCAGGAGAGCTCATTCTTATCCTTCCTCAGTGCCCAAATGTCTTCATGACCTTGAGCAAGTCCCTTCCCAGCCGGGCCTCTTTTCTCACCTGTGAAATGAGGGGGCGTGTGCTGGCTGATCTCCAAGGTCTCTTGTGACATTCCAGCAGTGTTGTGTCTCTCTTCTGGGTGATTTGCATATGCTTTGCATATATTAATGGTGCCTGCTTGAAGGGGGAGGGTGCCGCCCACACCCGGCCCAGAGTCCCACCCACCATTCCAACTCCCCTTGCCCATTGGCCCATGCTTTTGCTGCTCTGATTTCCCAGAGGGGTGAAAGCTGGGCCTGAGCATTCCCTGGGGAGGTAAGTCTGACCGCTATGTTCCATCCATGCTGGGGGCAGGGTGGGGGGATGGCCATAGTGGAGGGGACCGCTGCCCTCAGCACTCCTGCTCCAAAAGGAGCATGTGGTGGGTGAATTCACCAAAGTTGCCTGTGGCTAGGATGGGGTGTGCAAACCCCCACGGAGGCCGGATCCTGCCACAGGCGGAGGGGCTTGCGGCTGCATGCCCTCCCAGGGCTGTTCGTCCTCTGCCAGGAGTCAGAGCTCCCCCTCTGGCTTCACCTCCCAGGCTCAGCCAGGGCAAGTCCTGTCCTTGTGCCCCTGCCTGCTTTTGCCCATTCTCCTGGGGTCTGGGTATGTGTGTGCTGAAATCTGGGCCTCAGAGATGGTCACCGAGAAGGACTAGGTCATTCATTGCCTCTCTGGGCCCTCTGTGGCTCACAGAGAAGGTGGGGCCCAGGCCCCCTGCAAGGGTCATGGACATTATGAGGGAGGAGAACCTGCCACCCCAGTCCTGCTCCTACCTCCAGCAGCCCCTCCTGATCTTGTGGGGACCTCCCCCAGAGCCTCCTCCCATTCCGCCCTCAGCTCTGCATTGGTTCCTTTTATCTCCGTATCTCCCCTCACCTGGGCAGGGCTGGGTCAAGGGTGATAACCTGGAGAAGATAGTGTAAGTCCACTGGGTCATGAGAAGAGTCTCTGAAGACAAGAACAAAAATGCCCTCCACCACCAAGGAGGACTGGGCCAGAGAAATGCAGTAAGAGAGATCCAGGTTAGACTTAGTCTTAAGGAAGGACTGTCCCAGGAGGCAGATTCGTTTCTGATCCTGGAATTGTTGTGAAGATTAAATGAAACAACAGATGAAAACATCCCGCATAGTGCTGGACACATAATAAACAGTCAATAAATGTGATGGGATGGGGGACAGATGTCTCTAAACCCAGAGAAGACTCTTCTCTAAGCCTGTGACTTAGGATTTTGCAGAGGATGAGGACTTGGAGGGGCAGTTCCTAGAAGAGCTGTTTCCCCATACTCAGGCTGCTGCCCCTCACCCTACCCTTCGGGCCCCACGCATGCACTGGGCTTGGAGCCCAGCCACCCTGGGACACCCTGCCCTCATCCTCTCTGCTGGGGGTGGGCAAACAGAAGGGTGTGGAGGCTGCAAACCTGTTTTTCTCCCCCTGCCTCCATCTCTGCATAGGACAGCTTGAGAGGAAGCAGGCCCACGCTGTAGTAGGAGGAATCGAGGTTAGATAGGAAGATAAACCTCCCGGCATGTGGCCACTTCAGGATGGGAGGCTCTGGTGGTATTTTTGCATCTTTCACCTCAATGACGGTGGTCTGTGAGCACCGTAGGCTAGTCTTGGACTTAGGGGCAGGGGATTGGTCAGCATGACCTTTCAGATGACCTCTGGGCATCCTGAGGCATTTGGCTGGTGTGGTGGACAGAGTGCAGGGGGCCCTGCTGGGGAGGGGTCCAGTGCTTCGGGAGAGGGAGAAAAGGAGGAGACAGAGAAGCTGCTCCTCTGCTCCTCAGGGCAGAGAGGTTGTAAAGAAGCAGCATTGGGCTAGAGTCAGCTTGCCTGTCTCCCCTACTGCTGTGTGACCTTGGCAATTTAGTTGCCCCCTCTGGTCTTCAGTGTCCTTGGTATAAGAAAAGAGGGTGGGACTAGAAGACCTTCGAGCTCCCTTCCAACACTCCCAGGGTCTCTCTACCTCCTCTCCCTTGAGATAATATTGCTTTGCCACATGGAGGGTGGGAAGATTGTTTCCCAGCTTCAGCTAAGCAAAATAAAAAAATGGAGATTTGGCCCAAGAGAATATTGGAAAACATACACACACACTCTCACTCATTCCTTACAGATAGCCTCCCTCCTGTTGTGAAGACACACCTTGCCTACAGCTGCCCTCCCAGTCCAGGGGATGGAGAAGGGAGTGGCTAGAGGATTCAGCTGTCCTCTGAATTCTAAACTCACTGTTTTCCTCCCACCCCAGCAGAAGTGGCTTTGCCACACTCCATTCCATCCAGGGACTATAATCCAGTCCGGGTTTTCTTCCACAAGGCACCTCCAGCTGGTGGCTCAGCTCCCCCACACCTTATCCTGGCTCCTGGTAGCCTCGGCCACCTGCTTCAGTTGCCTGCATGTCCTGGTTTGGATTAAATCAAGACTGGAAGGGAGTTGGGTTTTCTCTTGCCTGTCTTCCTCACCTCTGCAAATGCACTCATACCAGAGCACTGGCTTCTTTTCCATTCCAGCTGGCAAAACATGCTGGAGACCACAGACCCAGGGGGCCACAGAGGGTTCCCCAGACTCGGTTTATAGAGAGACCCCAGACCCAGAGACCCCGCAGAAAGAGCCTAGCTGTTTCTGTTTGTGCAGAGCTGGGGAGATTGGGCGGAGGGGAGGACATGTTCTGCAGTCTCCTCTCACCCCTAGGGTGCATGATAATGGCAGGTGTAGCAGACACCAGCCTCTCCTTCTTATGGGAAGAATGAATGACCTGGCTCCTTGGGAAGGCCCTCCATGGCTCCTTGAAGCCTTTGGGTTGGGCCTCGCTGCCTTCTCTCCTGGGCCGTCCTCTGCCTATTCCACCCCACCCAGTGACCAGGCTGGCCTGGTGAGTCCCCATTCTTGTCTGCAGCCCCCTTACCCATGGAAAGTTAGGGCTCTGTGGAAAGGCAAGGGTTGTGGGGACTGCCACAGTCTCACTTTGTCCACCCCAGAACTTCTGCACTCTCCTCTACCTGGGCACTATGGGGACTTCCGGTTGGTAAAAAAAGAAAAAACAAAACAAAAACCGAGAAGGGGCTTGTTCGGGGCTTCCTGGAGCTTCCTCTTTCCTGGAAGTGGGAGGGGCAGGAAGGGGCTCTTAGAGAGGCAGAAGTCAACTAAAGATGAAGCTCAAGAAATCCTGGACCCGCCTCTCTCCTCGACCTGATGGCTCACCCTTCTGCTGGTCCATTGGCAGCCTGGGGTTAGAACAGTCTGCCTCCCACTCTTAGGATGAGGCAGAGACCAAGGAGAAATCTTCTCTTCTACCTTATTGCCCATAGGAGATAATTTCTGCTGGAACAGTCACTAGAAAGAGGTTAGACTTTAGGAAGAACTTCCCAGAGGCCACCAAAAGGGAGATGGCCAAAGACTGGGGAGGTTGGATAGGAGACGTTTAGCTCGTGGGTTAAGAGCTCAGGGTCTAGAGTTGGACAGCTCTGGGATGCAGTCGCAGCCCTGACAGTCACTCACTGTGTGATTTTGGGCAAGTTGCTTTACCTCTCTGAAGTGGTTTCCATCTCTGTAGATTGAGGGCATTAACTGGCTTCCCCACAGAGTGGGTAGCAGGATTAAATGAGGTAATTTAGGCAGAGCTCCTGGCACACAGTAGACATTCAATAAATAGTCATTTTTTGTCTTCCTCCTCTTCCTCTGTCTGACTGAATGATTGAATGGGAGCCCACCCTCCACTGAGGAAGGGGCATGTGTAAGAAATCTCTTTAGATTTTTCTAGAACCCAGATTCTCACTGCAGCCTGTCTGGGGCTGGGCCCCTGGAGCTGCCACTTAGGACTGGTGGTAAGAAGGAAGGTGGAGCTCCTGAACCCTCACTCCTGTGCCTCCCACTGCCTCATCCAGGAAGCCCTCTAGGGCTAGACATGTTAGTGAGCATTCTTAGTATTTCCTCCCAGTCCGTGTCCCAACAGCTGTTTCTCACTGTGATGTCCGCATTTTGGGTAATCGGTGGGAAAATTGGAACCATGAGATTGGCAGGGGGCTGTGAGAATGCCTGTAGCCAGACGTGACGTGGGAATGGATGGGTCTGAGCCAGCCAAGGGAGGGCTGTGTCTCCAGGCAGGAAAGATCTTACTGCTGCGTGCCCCAGGGTAAAAGGCTAATAGGTATGGCAGCATGAGGGAGGTGGGGTAGGTTGAGAAAGGACTTCCCTGCAGGGCTGGGCATGGTGGACAGCTGCAGGGGACCCTGCCTTGGTATGTTGAGGGTTGGGGATGTGGAGGCAGGAGCTAGGTGAAGGACTTCAGGCAGGTCTGGGCAGGCCGTCCTTCTGCACAGCTCCTAGCAGTGTGCACCTAGGAGTGCCTGTTGGGTGGGAAATGCCTGTCTCGTCAATGCTGGCAGGGGAAGTGGGGCTTTCTCAGGGTTAGTGGGGAGTGGAGCAGATGGGAGTCTCTTAGCTTGGGGAGAGGGTTGTCACCAGGGCAGTGATGGCAGGCCTCTGACCCTGAACCTATCAACCTTCCAGAATGGCGTGACCTTGCAAGAGGGAGGCAGACCGGCTATCATTTGGGGTCTAGGTTGGGTCCCCTAGTAAAGCGTCTGCCCCCGTTTCTGGGAGGAGAACCAGGCATGGCTTGTCAGCTGTCTGTCCTGGGAACCCAATTCTGGGGACCCTATGTTTTCCATGTTGTCCTTCTGTTTGTCCCCCTGTCTGTCTCCCATCAGTGTCTCTGCCCGCTCAGTCCCTGCTCTTCCTATGACACCCAGTCTCTATCCTGTCTGTCCTGGGGGGCCCACCCCAAAGGGAGAGCTCCTAAGGCTCTGCCTTGCTCTATCCCTGCTTCGCCTCCCCCAAACCATGGCCCATGGCCCTGCCCTGGTCCTGGCCCACTTTGGGAGCCCCTGCCCTGGTCCCCTCCTCTCTCCAGCTCCTCTGCTTCAGCCGGGCCTTTCTGGGTATTCATTCATTCACGACTTTCCTCCTTTCCTGTCCCTCACCCAGGGCTCCAGCGTGCGGCGGGAGGGAAGCCTCCAGGACTCTGTTCCCTCTGTTTAAAGTCTCCAGGTTAGTAAGCCAGGAGGGAGGCCCCCACCACTCCCCCTCCCGCCAGCTCTCCATAGTCAGATGCCCCTCCCCAGCCTGGAGGGCCAGAAATGGGGAGGGGGCTATCCCTGGTGGGCCCAGTCTTTGCCAGGGGAGGGGCCAGCAGACAGCTGACTCTGGGGAGGGCACTTTGGCTGGTAGAGAACATGTCCGTGTGTGCATGTGTGTGCATGAGCGAATGTGCGAGCACAAGCACACGTGCATGTACATGTGTGTGGGCTGCAGCGCCACCATGTAAGCAGGAGCTGGGGGGAACAGAAGAGGTGGGAACCCTCTGCTGACGGGGCTTGTGGCCTGGGGAGAGGGGTCAGGAGCAAAGGGCACCTCTTATTGGGGAAAACTGATATTCCAGCAATGCCCAGAGGGTGGAGGATGGGAGAAGACTGGACCGTTTTATTTAGCCTACAGGCACTTGCAAACTTGTGATCTCGTTTCATTTATTCAATTGTTTGATTGTTCATCCATTCATCCATTTATTCAATAAAGACTTATTGAAGGCCGGGTGTGGTGGCTCACGCCTATAATCCCAGCACTTTGGGAGGCCAAGGCAGGCAGATCATGAGGTCAGGAGTTTGAGACCAGCCTGGCCAACATGGTGAAACCCTGTCTCTACTAAAAATACAAAAATTAGCCATGAGTGGTGGTGGGTGCCAGTAATCCCAGCTACAGGGATTTGGGAGGCTGAGGCAGCAGAATCGCTTGAACCTGGGAGGCGGAGGTTGCAGTGAGCTGAGATTGCACCACTGCACTCTAGCCTGGGCAACAGAGTGAGACTCTGTCTCAGAAAAAAAAAAAAAAAAGACTTACTGAACACTTTCTCTGTGCCAGGCACTGGGCTAAGCTTAGAGTCCAGCAGCAACCAAGACAGATAGGTTCCTGCATGCTTTGCTTAAGTGGTGAGCAAGTAGAGGTTGAGGAGTTGGAAGATTTCCTGGCTGTGGGGCCTGTCCTCTGTCTGTGTGCCCCTGCTCCCCCTGCTGGCAGCTCCTTTGTAACTTTGTCCCTGAACAGCAGCCCCTCATAACGTGACCCTGCCAAGCAAGCAGTGACTTGGCCTCCAAGTCCCTGGTAACCCTGAGGACTAAGGGCAACACTATTAGGCTGCTTCTGAGGCCGCTGCAGAGGACATCAAGGAGCCTGGCTAGAGGAGGGGGTGTGGGTGGGGGAAGCCACCCCCGCAAATCTGGGCCCAGGACCTGCAGCCTGGAGCACTGGACTTTAGAGTCAGCCTGCCCTGGGTTCAAACCCCCACTTCAGCCATGTCCTAGCTGTGTGACCTTGGACAAGCCACTCTCCCTCTCTGAGCCTCAGTGTTGGTGCCTGTAAAGTGGTACAAGAACACCTCCCAGGTAGCTTTGTTGAGAAAAGTCAAGAAAAAGTAGTGACAGGCCCACAGCAGGGGCTGCCTAATTGCAGGCACCCTTTGCATCCCCAGCCGCTGCCCGGGGTTGGGCAGGCTATACCCTGGGTACTATCTAGCGCTGCCCTGCCTTCTCAAGAGAGGGGCTATTTTCAGGTTCCATGTCCTCCAGCCCTTCTCCAGCTCTCTGAACTGTTCAGCCCCAATCCAGGTGGGCAGCTGGGGGAGGCAGCTCTCCTTGCCACCATGGCTGCTGCCGCCTTGATGGCTTTTTAATAACTTTGCTCTGAGACAATCTGCAGAGCGCTCGTTTGTCTGCTTCTTAATTAAAATTACCGTTTTCCTAAAAGAGCAACGACACTGCTCCCTCCCTCCCCCATGCTTGGCTGCTGGGAGAAGCCGGGAAACGGGAAACAGGGAAATGCGGAGGGACTTGAGATTGCAGCTCTTTCCCTCCTTCTGGCTCCGTGAGTTACCCCCCCAACCAGTTCTCCACACAAACAGCAGAGGGGCCAAGCTCAGGCTGCAGTGTGGGCTCAGGGGCAGTGAACCAGGCAGAAGGGGCCGGGGCAAGGGCCTCTGAGACTTGAATGTTCTTCTCTTTCACCCGCCCTCTTCTGGAACACCCCCAGTGACGGGGAGCTCAGTACCTTACAAGACTTACTTTCTACATCTGTAAAAAGGTGAAGCAGCCCCTGTCCTGGCTTTCTCAGCCAGAGCAGAATAAGACATGGATCGGTTCTGGAAGAGTGTGATGAAGGATTATTGAAATGCCTGGTGAGGGTAGAGGGGTGGGGGGCGGGCAGCTACCGTGCTAGTGGACACTGGGCCAGCCCCTCACTGTTGACTCCGGTTTTGGTTAGAAGAGACCTGTGCTCCCTCTGTGGGCTTTCAGGGGATGGGCTCATTTAGTCATGGCTGAGTTTTGAGGACAAAAAATTATCGCTGGTAATGATGAAAACACGGCTGCCGGTATTTATTGGGTGCTTTCTGGGAGCCACCTGCTGGGTCATGCACTGTACAGGTGTCAGTTCACTCCATCCTCACAGCTGCCCTGTGAGCTCAATGCTGCTGTCTCTGTTTTTCGGGGGAAGAGCCAGACAGACCTGAGGGGTTAAGTAGCATGTCTGGGCTCAGGGAGATAGTCCCAGTGTCTAGCAGGGCAGCCACAGCCCCACACCCTCCTCCCCTCCGCCTTCGCCTGAAGCTTTGCATGGGTCTCGCCCCATTCCCTCGTGCACCTTTGCCTCGCTCTCTGCACTCCGTAAGCAGGGCTCCTCTGCGGCCCAACACCATGAAGAATTGATGCTGGGATTCATCACCTTCCTCCCCGACCCCGTTCCTCCTGAGGACTCTGTGCTGCAGCCAGGTGGGGCCCCTACCAGCCTGCCTCGGGCCTGGCCTTCTCCCCCGTGGGCCTTTGCCTCTGAGGCTTGCGTCCCCTTTATCACCTCCTACTTCTGCTCCTCCTTGAAGTGCCCTTCCTCCGACAACCACCTCTGGGCTTGACCCTGGGATCTCCCGGAGCACCGTCAAACCTCTGGTGGCTCCTGATGTGACCTTTCTTGAACAGTTACCAGTTCTGGACATAACTAAGCCCACTAGCCTACTTTTGCTTGTAGGGGCAGCAAACTCAGCACCTACATCTGTAAAATGGGGTACCTGCAGGGGCAGCAAATGAGGGATGCTAGGGAATGGTGGGGACTGTCGTGAGGAGGGACGCCTTCCTGCCTCTGCAGCCGGTACTTCCTTACCTCGCTTTCTGTGCTCCTTCGAGGTATTACAATTCAAAGAAATAACATCAAACACCACCAGACCCTCCCCACCAAAAAAAAGCCTGTGCCTCAGTCAGTGCGGCCACAGTGTGATCCTTGCTAAATCATCTCATTCATCTTGGCATCCCCATATTGCCTAACACATAGTAGCTGTGTATGAATTGTTTGTTGAATGACTACCTAACCACATGTGTGCCAGGCATTGTGCTAGATACTTTACACATTTTATTTCTTCCCATCTTCACAAGGGAGGCACTATTTTCTCCATTTTGCCATTGGGGAAACTGAGGCCTGGAGAAGTGAAATGACTTGTTCAAGGTCACACATATGGGAAGTGGCCAAGGTGAGATATGAGCCTTGGCTCGCTGTGTCCTTCTGCCTGTTCTCTCTGGTCATGGGGGTGCCTACATGGGACACATGGCCCCTGCTTTCAGTGACCTGGGTAACAGGGAGCACTTGTGTGGCTGGTGACCACCTGGCTGCTATGCATGGCTCACCTTGAGGAGGCAGGGTGGGGAAGTGAGGGCTGCAGAGGCAGGAACGGTGCCAATGCCCCTCCCCCCAGCATGCCCCTCCCCCCTCAGCTTCCGGTCCCATCCCAGCAGCCTGGGGATGGTGGTGTGGTGACAGGTGCCGAGCTGCAGAGATGACAGCACTGCTGATTCCCCCATAATTACCGTCTGATGAGACACCAGAATTAGCCACTGCGCAAGCATGGGATGCAGACATGGGGTACTTGCAGGGAAGCAGCTGAGGGTGGGGGAGCCTCTCCTTCAAGCCTGGGGCCCGCTGGCTGCACGGTAGGGTCAGCACTGAGAGGAGGAAGTAGGTTAGCAAGAAGGAAGCACTGTGTGGTTAATATGCCTCAGATATTATCATGTGGGCTTGTGGTTTTCCAGTTCTCAGAGTGGCTGACTGCCAGATGGGGGCATCCAGGGCCTCAGGCCACTAGCCAGAGAATTCCAGGCAGAGCAGGCTGCCCATTCAGACTCCTGGGCACACCTTTTGGTGTCTGAAGCTGGAGCTCTGAGGGGCGTAGTTGCTGGGAGGTGCTAAGATTCAGACTAGACCCCTCAAGTGACATTAGCAAGGCCAGGCACCAGAAAGCAGATGGAAGTGACTGGAAGGAGCAGTTTCAGCTGACTGGACCAGGAACTTCACACATCCCAGGTGGGAGGAGTCAGGCTGGCCCCTGAGGTCCGAGGCTGGGGGAGGCCTGAGAGTTAGGAGCAGGAGCCGAGGAAGGCACGTGCTGGCCCAGGAGTAGGACTCTCAGGCCCTGAGCATTTGTTCCTCCTGGCACATGTACCGTGGGCAGGAGGGGCACTAGCGAAGGCACTTCAGTAACAGAAGCAGAGAGGAGGCACCTGAGCTGCTCAGACCTCAACTGGACCCTGGGAGCAGTTCTGAAGGCTACCAGCCAAGAAGGTTGGTGGCAATATGGGGTTTACCCAACAAAGGGTGGTGCAGATGGCCAGGGGCTCGGCCACGCAGGAAGGACCTGAGGGCTCATGACAGAAGCTTCCGGTTCAGGAGCCTCCACTCTGCTCCAAAAGGGGAGGTCATGACCTTCCCCCAGGTTCCTGAGGGCCCTGGGCACAGACTGTGGCTCATTTTAAGGAAGGAGGAACCCCACAAGATGATTGGTGCCCTGGATGTAATGAGTTCTCCATTCCTGGAAGTATCCAAGACCTGGCTGGCTGGAGCTCCTGATCTGCAGTTCTGTCTTTGCACAGCCTGTGGCAGGGGCTGGGAGGGCTTCATATCCAGCGCAGGTACGAGAAGGCTGGGAGGAGGGCTGTGGAAAGGAGGGTCCCCCAGAAGGT